TCCACCCCCCCCCTTCCCCGGACAGGGACCCGGAAAAAAAAGGGAAAAATTAAAAAAAAATTTTGCGGGTGGGGGAACATTTTCAGCTTGGAGCCCAATAAAGTAGGTCCAAGGTGGATTTTTTTGTTTATTTTGGGATACAAGTGTTTTTGGGCAATTTTGGGCCGGGGAATGTTTTTCATTTTTTTTTTCCTGGATTTTCGGTTCCGTGCCCCCCCCCCCCCCCCCACGCAATAAAAAACACCGAAACCGAAACACGTTGAACAAATCAGCAAGTTGAGCCCGTGAAGACCCAGTTTCTGCTGCACAAGTTCAACGCGCAAGCGACGGATTTCGGCTACACCCGGGCGTTCGAGCACGAGGTCATCATGGCCCAGCGCAACATCTTCATCGACCCCCAGGGTAAGCATGTGTGTGTGTGTGTGTATGGGTGTCTTCGTCCGAGTTATTCTGGCGCCAGTCCACACGGTGTATATGTTTGACGTACATGTATCAGCCGGGGTCACACAAGAGGGAGGTCGCGCAGGAGCGTGCGGTGGAATTTTTCCCGTTTCGTCGTCTGACCTTACCACCACAACGGTGCGGGTGCCGTGCTGCTTGAGATGGCTGTGGCCTCCTGCCTTTTAGCAGCCCTTGTGTTGTACCGTTCATTGTCCTTGCGAGAACGCCCTAGCGCGTCGGCGCACGCATACACCCAGCCAGCGGCTTCGCCCGCACCCATCAGCACCTCGGCATGCCAAATCCGTTTGCCTTCCCTCTGACTGGCATGCCGTACCCTCATACGATACCACGCACCCCCCGCCCACAACACACCAAACAACAGGCTTCGTGCGCAACAGCGCCAAGATCACCGACTCCTCAGTCCTAGAACCCGTACGCCTTCCCTCCGCTTTCCACACCACACCCACACACGACACCATGTACCCCCGACACACACAAACAGGCTTCGTGCGCATCAGCGTCAAGATCATCGACGTCCGCGAGGCGTACTTCAGGGTTGCGACGGACGTCGACCTGGCCCGGAGCGTGACCGGCCGCGGCGGCGGCGGGGACTTCGCGGACTGGAGGACCTGCCTCCCGGCCAAGTCCTTCAAGCACGATCAGCTCCTCTACGTGGTGAGTCATGCGGCTGATCGAAGGGGTACGTGCTGCTGCCGTTGCATATCGGCCCGTTCTCCTTCCCTCCCGACTACGGTTGTGGGTGGAAAT